CGGGCACTTTCACTTCCTCCCCATAGACCCTACGACTGTGCTATCAAACTGCTCCCTGGAGCCCCACTACCCTCCAGTCGGCTATACAATCTATCCAAGCCTGAGAGGGAGGCCATGGCAAAACACATAAACAAGTCATTGGCTGCAGGAATCATCCGTCCCTCCTCGTCACCCTTAGGAGCAAGGTTTTTCTTTGTTTCAAAAAAAGACGGTTTACTCCGACCTTGTATTGACTTCAGAGGCTTAAATAACATCACCATAAAAAATAAATATCCACTTCCCTTAATTTCATCTGCTTTCGAGCCAGTACAGGGATCTACCATTTTTACCAAACCTGACCTCTGGAATGCATATCATCTTGTTCGTATCAGACTAGGGATGAGTGGAAAACTGCCTTCTGTACTCCACTCAGCCATTTTGAGTATCTTGTAATGCTTTTTGGGCTCACTAATGCGCCTGCTGTGTTTCAGGCATTAGTAAACGATGTTCTTCGTGACTTCCTGGATATTTCTGTTTTTGTTTATTTGGATGATATTTAGATTTTTTCTAAGACTTTAAATGAACATCGTACACACGTCCGTCTAGTTCTCCAACATCTCTTAGAGAACAGACTGTACGTGAAGGCAGAGAAGTGTGGCTTCCACCTCAAATCGGTGCCTTTCCTGGGCTACATCTTCGAGGGCGGACAGGTGAGAGCTGAACCCGAAATAATCAAGGCAGTTGTAAATTGGCCGGTTCCGGAGAACCGTAAGCAGCTACAATGTTTGCCAACTTCTACTGGAGGTTTATACGAAATTACAGTCAGGTTGCCGCACCTTTGACTGGCCTCACGTCCACCAAAACCGCCTACTCCTGGACCCCCGCAGCTCAAGCAGCCTTTCTGGAGCTCAAGACATGTTTTTCCACGGCCCCCATTTTGACCCAGCCTCAGCCATCCAAACAGTTCTTTTTAGAAGTTGATGCTTCAGACTCTGGAGTGGGGGCAGTACTTTCACAGCGCTCCAGTTCTGACCACAAGCTTCACCCCTGTGCCTTTTTCTCCCATCGTCTTACTCCCACTGAACGCAATTATGATGTGGGAGATCGGGAGTTGTTGGCTATAAAGTTAGCCTTGGAGGAATGGCGCCACTTACTTGAGGGGTCAGAAACCCCAGTACAGATCTTTACCGACCATAAAAACCTTTCATATCTGCAATCAGCCAAACGTCTTAACCCCAGGCAGTCTAAGTGGTCATTGTTCTTCTCAAGTTTCAACTTCACCATCACTTATCGCCCAGGTTCAAAAATACCAAACCAGACTCCTTGTCCCGGTTATACTCCTCCCAGGATGACGAACGGGCTGAACCCATCCTACCGCCTCACTGGATTGTTGGAACCCTCACATGGGAGGTTGAACATTGGGTCAAACAGGCCCTGTTATCAGAACCTGACCTCGGTATGGGACCACCTAATTGTACCTATGTTCCATCCTCTATTCGTGCCAAACTTATTCATTGGTTCCATACCGCCAAATTTACCTGCCACCCAGGAGTAAGCCGCACCATCGCCCTCATTACCCGCCGATTTTGGTGGCCCTCTTTTCACCATGATGTCAGGGCATTCATACTTGCTTGTTCCATCTGCGCCAGAAACAAGACTGGGACTCAGCCTCCATCAGGGTTATTACAACCCCTTCCTATCCCTAAGAGGCCCTGGTCCCACATCGCCCTAGACTTTGTGACCGGCCTGCCAAAGTCAAGAGATATGACCACCATTGTTACGATTATTGATTGTTTTTCTAAAGCCTGCCATCTTGCCGCCCTTAGAAAGCTGCCCACAGCGCTTCAAACTGCCCAGATCCTCATTAAACATGTTTTCTGTCTCCACGGCATTCCACGGGACATTGTCTCCGACCGGGGACCGCAGCTCACTGCCAAGGTATGGAAACAGTTTTGCTCAGCCTTGAATGCCTCTGTCAGTCTCTCCTCTGGTTTCCACTCTGATTCCTATGGTCAGACGGAGCGAATGAACCAGCAGCTGGAGGCCACTCTTAGGTGTGTGACTACATCAGCTCCCTGAGATTGGAGTACTGGGGGTCTTGAAGAGTTCAAGACCCCCATTACTCCCCTGGAAACAGGTATGGCTCTCCACCCGTCACATTCCCCTGAAACCAGCGTCTGGCAAGCTCTCCCCCAGATTCATTGGTCCCTACGTCATTGACACAGTACTCAGTCCCACCGCAGTCTGCCTCTGGCTGCCGCCACACCTACGTATTCACCCCACGTTCCATGTCTCCCATGTAAAACCTGTCCGTTCCTTCCATCCGAGAACTGACCACCCCTCCCGGCTCCATTCCTGCCAGCAACAGTAAGCCTTCATCACTCAATCTTCCCCTCCTCACTCTGAAACAATACTCACCGTTCTGCTTTCCCTTCCTCAGAGGACGTTCTGCCGGAGCCACCCTGAATTCCTCATTCATGTCATATCCCTTCTGAATAAATCTCTTAAAACTTCATTTGTCTCCTGAAAGTTTCTGCATGTGGGTCAAGAAGCTCGGTAAAACGATGACACAAACACAAGTATGGGGATACAGATGACGCAGAGGGACTCTCTGATTTTCACACCTCCTATCATGATGGGAAGAATGTAATCTGGCTGTTTAGCATCTCAGAAGAGAGACACATTATAAAGCACATCACTGTTGAGCTCCAAGCACACATCAAGGTACATGTCTCCCGTCATGGCCACTATGATTGACTGAGTGATCCCTTCTGGTTCCTGGGGGTGGATTCTATGACATAGGAAATATTTTGGTGATCTATCGTTCTTCTATGTAGCAGAGAATAAACAGCGGGTCAGTCTCTCTACATCCCCACAGGGCAGACAAAGGCTCTGCTGTAAGTGTCTGCTATTTTCACTGAGCCTCCAGTCAAAGCAAAAATTTTTGTTAACTCAGTTACATTGTTAATTACTTTCTAGTCACATAAAGACTTTGAATAAATTACTTACTTCAAGAAGAAAAAATGTGCAGCAGCTATTGAACTATGGGCACTGACTTGCCTTCTGTTCCTTTGTGAGTTCTTATTCTTTGAGCTTCCTTTCCTTGGTGTTGTCATGCAGTCGTGAGATGATTAATGGCAGATCACGCTGCTATCTAACGCAGAACAGAAACTTGCCAACACTCATTTACTATGCACCATTTCAATACTCTATATAGTTTGTTGTATAGCATCAACATCTTCCACCCACAGTGCAGGTTTGTTAAAGAATTCAGTTTACGTCTCAGTGTCTTTCATGCAGGAAATGATCTCACTGACAATTCTAAATGAATGCTTTGGTTTCTTTCTTTCTTACTAATTATGCATGGCCTTGGATGAGTATTAATGCTGCTAGGAGGTTGCTACGTTTGTTCTGTTTAAACCACAAATTTAGACACAAATGAAATACACGGTATTTTGTTTAGATCTTATGTGATGGTCCTACATAAGGTTGTGAAGCAGAAGGAAAAGGATACGTGGTTTTCTAAAGACTGACATTTTTGGTCATTGTTCTTTGAAAAATAGCTCAAGCTCAGTCAGATTAGATAAACCGCATCTGTGAATGTATCCTTGTTTTAAATCAACCATTGTAGCTGTTCCTGCTGGAAGATTAGCCTCCAATGCAGTCTCAAGTCTTTTGCCGCCTCTAACAGGTTTTCTTTAAGGAATACCCTGTATTTACCTCCTTCCCTCTTCTCATCATCTCTTACCAAATGGTTTCTATCCCTGCTGAAGGAAACCATCCCCAAAGGATTATTCTGCCACCACCATGTTTCAATGTTTAGGGTGACATGCAGTGATAGTTTCTCTCCACACATAGCCTTTTGCATGTGGAAAATTCACTTTTTTCTCATTTTCTTGCTTCCTCCACATATTAGCTGGGTCACCTTGTAGCAAGCTACAGACAGGATATGTTATACCTGGCTTTTAGCAGTCACTTTCTTATTGCCTCTTTTGCATAAAGGCCAAATTTGTGAAGCACGTGACTGTGTGTTGTCGAGCGTGTTGTTGACAGATTTGCAGCTGTGCCATACTTTTTCCATTGACGATGATAGATTGAAAAGTGCTTTGAGAAATGTCCAGTTCTTTGGATAATGTTTTAAAGCCTAAACAAGGTAACGTCTTAAGGAAACTGGCTGCACTGGAAGGCAGTTTAAACTGGGCAGATATATTTATTTGTCAAAAAGAAGAGAAAATTATATACTATTTTCTTTCCACTTCACAATTGTTTGTTAGTTTGTGTTGGGCCAATGAATAAAACCTCAATAAACTATATTGAGGCTTGTGGTTGTAACGTGACAAAATGTGGAAAAGTTGAAACTGTATGAATACTTTTAAAGAGTAACATATATTCTGTTTTATTTAGATTGTGAAATCCTTCAATAAATTAAAATGAAGTCCAACCTTCAGAACTATTCTTTTGTAATACAATTAGCAACTATAAAGCTGTGTTTTAAAGCTTTGAATGAAAAATGCAAATTAGCAGAATAATTTTAACCAATGCTTTTAGTCTCTCTTTTGCATCTTCATAACACATGAGTCATTTGAATTATTCTACAGTGCTCTGTTTTAGAGACATATTTAAATGTTAAAAGGGGCTGTAAAACATAAAAATAAGCCCAACAATTCACTATAACAGTCTAGTTCCTTATTTGTTGCTTAGTCTTGATTCAAAATCTCTGCAAACTGTAATGGAAAAACAAGACAAATAAGGGGAAGCATGTTGGAAAGTCAAAAAGAGTTTAAACCTTATCAGAAATAATATATGAGATAAGCAGATATATGAGATCTCCAGCAGTCTATGGGCGAGAGGCAGGGTACACCCTGGACAGGTCGCCAGTCCATCGCAGGGCAACACATAAACAACCATGCACACACTCATTCATACACCTAAGGGCAATTTAGAGTGATCAATTAACCTAACAGGCTTGTCTTTGGACTGTGGGAGGAAGCCGGAGTATCCGGTGAGAACATGCAAACTCCATGCAGAAAGACCCCCGGGCGGGAATCAAACCCAGGACCTTCTCGCTGCAAGACAACAGTGCTACCAACTGCCCCACCGTGCAGCCCTGTATTAATTCAATTCAATTCAATTCAATTCAGTTTTATTTATACAACGCCAATTCACAACACGTTGTCTCAAGGCACTTCACAACAGTCAGGTACATACATTCCAATTAATCCTAACCATTGAACAGTGCAGTCGGAGTTAGCTTTTTATTCAAATTGG